AAAAAAAAAAGAAAAACCAAGCCCCCGAGCGAATTATCACTCTTTTAAGAACGATTTATAATAATATAAAGCAAAATATAACTTTCGTCGAAATCGGTACCAGAAATATTTATAAGTGGTATCATCTTCTGTACGTTGTGAGTAAGTCRMACAGATATATAAAAATACTAGATAGCTAACTTCGGTATTATTATTGTCGCAAGTAAAATGGCCGCCATTCTTATCTAAGAGGTGAATGTTTATGTTTTATAGTATTGATAAGCAATTGAAGAATGGTGTTATAATAGTTTAAACATGTAAATTTTAAAAGCAATTAWTATTTTATACAGGTTTTGGGTGGMGTTAAGTTTTCATGTATGGTAAAAATTGTCACCAATTATTTTGCCTGTGTTCTTGAAGATAGGTACAGCTTCAAAGATAAATGTGTGAGTCAAAAAATAATTTATTGTTATACAAATACCAGTATACTGAGAGATATAATTTCTAATAAAGTATTACAATTAAAAAAAAAAATTATCAAGTGCTTTATTTAATCAGTACAATCTTAAAAAAATTAAAACAAATTTTAAATTTAGATTTTTCAACATAGCTACATTCTTTGGGTTTATCAAAATGAAATTATTATACATAACAATAAAGAAATAAGAGGTATTTTAAACTACATCTCGTAGGTATAGGTACAACAATATTATAATATTATTGATTCATAAATAAAAGTTGTTTCGTCAATTTATGACTGTTACTTATTGGGTTTAAAATATCTGTAGAAAACATTTTACCCAATGAAAATGTAATATTATGCTTAAATATTTCTGTATAAGTAATGCAATTAAAACTAATTTATGGGGTCTATCTTATTATTATTAAGATTCATCAAGTTTCATATGCGTTTGAGATTGAVCTTAATATAGTTATAAATAGCTGGCGATTATCATATTTTTCTATGTGATTACATGAAAATGCAATGAAATATTAAATTGTTTATATAAATWATAAAAGAATCCAAATTTTAGCTCCAATAGTCAAATAGTTTCAGATAAATATTATTCGGAAAAAAATGTTCTTATGTCTTACGTACCAACAAAATTAAAAATATTATAGTCCTCCAAAATTGTTTCTTATCACTTATCATATCATTTAAATTTGTAAACAGTCACCTCTTAAATAACGATTGGCAGCCATTTTGTTGGAGACATAATTTTTCAGGTATGGACTATTGAAGTCGGCTCTCGGCTATCTAGTATTTTTATATATCTGTGGTAAATCATAGATATTAAGCAATTTATATCTATGGAGTAAGTTGAATTTATAGTGAATTRTGATAAACAAAAAATATACATTGGCAACATTACATTTTTTTCGGGAAACCTCCTAAATTATTGTTGGGCAAATCGAAGTCCTCGCGTTCCACGAACAATGACATTTTTATGACTTATTATATTGATAAACTGTATATGGTTCTAATGAATATGTATATTATGTGAGTGAACGTATTTTAAAATTATATTAAATTACAAATATTAGTTATTGTCTTGAATTTCTAATAAAGTTTATTTTATACACATTATTAATAATCWAAAATATTCGTACAAGACTGAAGGTACTTATTTAAAATTATAGGTACATTGTATTAACATATTTTAGGTATAATAAATATCTCAATAAAATTCAATGATAATTGATAACCTCGGCATTGTATATAATTAACTACGATATATTTTCATCATGCTAACTACACATATTTTTAACACAATAATATGAAGTCTTAGAATATTTTCTAAGACTACTGTTCGTTAGATAAATAAGAATAAATGAATAAATTGTAATCAATTAAATTCAAAATATGCTTACCAATTTTAACCACATGTTAGTAATCAATAGCTGATTTTTTTCATCCTGTAACAAAGAGTTATGTTCACGTTAGTACAAAACAATTTATTGTTGTAAGTATTGTGTTATGATTAGTTTTAATTATGTCAATTRGAGGGATACATTTAAATAAAGAAACGTCGTTTCATTTATGCGCTGGTATTGTGTTACACGAATTCTGTCGATACAAAATAATTCAACTGTCCGAATATTTATCTATGAACCTACCCATATATATAAATATTATGTTTTCTAACCCCTTTTAAAAGAGGTTGATAAATTTGCATTCAGAATGYTAGGTAACCGGGATAACTGACGTTTGCGCTCTGAGGACGAATACATACATTTTAAACAGCTCTTTTTTATTCTGGTAGAAGTAGGGCGGTGACGGACTACAAAAAAATAATATATATATAAATATACCTACCTAAAGAATGTTTTATTAAACTATCCTCGTGTCCCCTTTACTTTTTTGAATACACTCAGTAAACTAAGTATCCACCTAACTCATTTTTAAAATACTAGTTTTCCCCTTATTTACAACTTATTACCATAGGTAAAATATTGTAAAGTCAGTTGGGTAAAAATCTTGAATTATTTTCTATACTTAAGCTAGGATAAAAGATTTGTAACAAAAATATAAAATGTTTGGTATTAGTCAAATAAATTTGAAACTTCTTTGATAATCTTTAGGACGTGCGTTTTATTTAAGTTCAAACTGCGGTAACTCTTCTTAAGATACACAGTACATTTACTTTTGATATTCAACAGAAACTATTTTTATGGAATATTTATGTCTAAATCGCTAAAATTAACTATAAAACACGTATTTATTTTTTTTAGGCAAACGAGGAATCAATTTGTAAGTTGAACTGACTTAAGAGTATATTTGTTTTTRGGAAACAGAGTTTTATTGAAATTATAATACTCAAATTGTGATGGATGGTTATATTAAATATTCTGATATTTATAAAAATTAATTTTATAATTTTAATTGTTTAATCTTAAATAAAAAAACATAAATATATTATATTTTGAAAAGTAAGATACATAATACATTTTGAACATAGTTAATAGGTACCTATAATTTGCTCACGGCTTTGAGCTAGAATTTTTTAGAAAACGATGTGGACGGGTTGAAACATTTTTTGCGGGTTTTTACCGAACTAAACAACAAAAACAGTGGTAACGTCAAAAAAGCACATTATTATAAAAAATAGACGACTTGCACGAATAAATTTTTGAAAAAGGAATTCAAAACTAGCTGCAAGAAAACAAAATCAACTATAGCTCTGAATGTAAGTCACTAAATGCGACATYTACATTTTTTAATAATATTTATGTTATCAATTTTAGAATAAATAAAATGCATAAAATGTTGATATTTATACGTGAGTATTTAAATATTATGTTATCTAAAAATATTTAAATAATATATTTATAACGAGGTATCATGAAATTAAGATAAAAGTATTTATTATTTTATGGAATTATTAGTGGTTTTCTTTTAACTATTTTATTCGATGTTTATTC